ACATTTATATGATTGTCTCTAAAATTTTGACATACCATGGCATCTAAGAATATCATAGCTGACCTTAATAAATGTTACAAATTGAATGGCGATAATTATAACATTTGGCGCTACAAAATTTGGTATTACACGAGGAAAAGGATTGCCTTGAAGGCATTAACCACCACTACGCCAAAAATTAGCTTTCGCAACACATAAAAGGCAACATTCGGTAGTTAAATGTTGTTAGGGGTCTATTGCAACATTTTGATAAGTGAATGTTGCAATTGGTTAGTAAAATTGAGCTTTAGCAACATTTTTTTAAGTAAATGTTGCCTTTTTGCAACTTTTTTTAGTGTTGCGATGTTTTTTTTACTTTTTTGCAATGTTCTGACAGAGCTTTTCGCAGCATTTATAAAACGTTGTGAAATGTGTTTTGCAGTATTTTTTAAACGTTGCGAATTGTGAAAGCTATTTCTCCGTATATTTTTTTCCCTAATTGTTTTCCTCTTAATAACGTTCGCCCTAAATATTCCTTCTCCTCTCGTCTCCGCCTCTCCTCTCTTCTTCCCCCTACTCTCTCAAAACTTGGATAAATGGCATCTTCCTTTGTCCGTTCAAAATCTCTCTCATCAATACGAGTCCCCAACCCCTCTCCTCTTGTGCCCTCCAAGTTTTCCTCTTCTTTTCAAATTTCCAATTTCCCCAAATCGGTAAATTTTACAGATTCTTCATCTCAAGTTGAGGTCAAATCCTCCAAAAGAACTGCAAAAAATGAGAAGCGGTTCATCCGAAACCAAGTTTTTGCAAGAGCTGGTTCTCTACGCCGCAAGCGCTGCTTTGAGCTGTTTGGTTTTGTTCGCGGGTCTCCGACATCTCGACCCGAACCGCGAAGCGTCCAAGAAAGCAATTAAACACAATAAGGACATTGCAAAGCGTTTGGGCCGACCTCTCATCCAGACTAATCCCTATGAGGTTCAAATTTATTTCTATATGTGATGTATTGTATGTTATTTTTCAATTATATAACTTAATTTGTAATAATATTGTATGGTATTGTCTGTGTTATTGATTTGTTAAATTTTTTCAGTAATGGATGTGTGATTTTTTAATTAATAAGAAAAGTTCACTGTGATGGGCAGTTAAGTTATTATAGCATACATTTTTTTAGAGATTTAACATTTGTAGTGACATAAATTTTAGATATTATTGAAAATGTAATTACATTTTCATGTTGATTTTGGATTTGGTTTTGGTTAAGGTTTTATATGTTAGCACAAGGACCAAAAAAAAAAACCTATTACTTCTGTAAATTTCTTATGTTTGATCTAGATGGAAATGGGGGAAATTGCTCGAGCACCCAAAATTTTGATTTTGTATATGCTGAATATATGATGTGCAATGGGATTTACTTCTATGTCTTAGAGTAGGTATCCAGAGCAGTGAAGATTACGGGTTCTATGCTATCTCAGCTGAGTTTCCTGAATTCAGCAACAATTTTTTTTACTAGTAGTTACAAACCTCAAAATCAGTTTGTTTCTTATTTCTCCTTATTGCATGACCCCACAATATTCTTTGATGC